AGGAGGTGGCGGTCGGGGGAGGTGAGCTCGGACTGGAGGGAATCGAGCTTAGTCTGGGTGCGGGAGCAACCAATCACAGTGTGGCCTCTCTTAGAAAGCTCCACGGCTAGGGCTCTGCCGAGACCTCTGCTCACTCCGGTTATCAAGACCGTCCTAGCTGCGGTGGAACCGCTCATCGACGACGCCATTGTCAATGCTATAGCTAGTTTTTCTCTGCACAGTGCAAACCACTTCCGCATATGATACCATATGGTTTTGAAATTGAGATTCTCATGTGTGTATATATATAATAGGTATGAGTTTTTATTGTAAAAAATTAGGGAAAAAGTATTTTAAAATTATTTAATAAAAATGATCTTAATTATTTTTAAATGTTAAATAAAGATGTTTTAATTTTTTTTGGTAATATTTTATTAAAATAATATATTTTTAAAATATTTTTTTACTATATATAGAAAAGTTTGACTTTTTACTTTGGAAATAAATTAAAATTTTAATCTAAAATTAAATTAGATAGTTTTATGTAATGAGAAAAGTAAGATTGTAAAAAATTTTAAAATTATATTGTTTTAATAAAATTTTATTAAAAAATTAAAATATTTTAATTATTTAAAAGTAAAAATGTGAATATTTTAGTTTTTTTAGTAAAATTTTATTAGAATAACATAGTTTATTAAATTTTTTAGAAATTTAATTGATAAATATTAATTTCTTATTATGAAATAAACTTTGATTCCTAAATATATATATTTTGGTGTTATAAGGTAGAGTGTACCTGGTAAGAGTAAGACTTTAGAGAGCCGACAACAAGTCCAGGTCCAGGCAGCCCAAACTGGTATATAAGTGAAGTGGGCATTGTAAAGGCAGCCCATATGACAGAAAAGGCCAGGCCCATACAATCAATAGGAAAGGAAAGCGGGGTAATTAATCTTCTTCTGCTCGATGCTTTGCTTGTTTATATATATATTTGCACGCACAGCCAATATTGCTTCAGCTTCTAATGCCAGCTCCGGCGGAGTCTCTCCTCTAAACTCTAATTCAACAATTTCGTTGGCGGATTCGGATTCAAATTCAAATTGAGGTGTTCTGCGATTAATCAATTAATCAATCTGTTGTGGACATTCAGGTGTCTGCAAATATCTGGTAAGTTTCTTGACCTAGATTGGATTGGATTTCTTTTAAAGTTGGAAGTTATTGCTGTTCAATTTTTTTAATTTTTGTTCTTTAAATTTTTAGGTCTAGAAATACAAAATACATAATTGATGTCCTTTGGGCGAGTTCGACTTGGTATGTTTAATGGCAGTCATCATCCATCCAAGAATTAGATAGATATATGTGTAAAATTTTTTTTGGTTGATAAATCGATCTGATAGGGTTTCTAAGATTGTTGTTGATTTGTTATATAGTAGCCAACCCAACACTACCCTACCCTACCCTACCCTACCATAGATGGAGGATTCCAAGCATAAACCTAGGAAGGAGGATTCAGAGAGAAAGGATATTGATTCCAAAGGGACCCATCGTGAACGTCGTGAGAAGCACAGGGACCGGGATAGGAGAGACCGTGAAACTCGTCCTTCTGATAGGGATAAGAGTAGTGATTCTGATGAAAGGTATGATAGGGAGAGAGAAAGGGACAAGGAAAAGCACAGAGATAGAAGGGATCGTGATGATGAGCGGGAAAAGGTCAGAGACAGGAAGAGGGACAGGGAAGATAGAGAGAAAGACAAGGAGAAAGACAGGGAGAGGGCAAGAGAGAAGAGGGAACGGGACAGGGAAGAACGAGAGAGGGAAAGGGAGAGGAGAGAACGGGACAGGGAGAGAGAAAGGGAAAAGAGAGAGAGGGACAGGAAGTTAAGGGAAAGGGAGAAGCGTCGTGAATATGACAACAACAACAACAGCGATGACAGTGATGCTGAGAAGGACCGGGACAGGGACCGTGATAGGAAGCGTCAGCGTAGGCGTGATCCTGATGCTGATGATGATTACAAGGAGAGAGACCGAGAAAGAAGTGTTAGCAGGTCTAACAGACAGAGGGAGAGGGATGACAGGGAGGAGAGCCCAAGGAAAGTGGCCATCGAGGATGACTCAGACATCAAAGAGACTAAAACAAGAGAGGAGGAATTAGAAGAGGAACAGCGGAAACTAGATGAGGAAATTGAAAAACGAAGGAGGAGAGTGCAGGAGTGGCAAGAGTTAAGAAGGAAGAAGGAAGAGTCTGAGAGGGAAAAGCGGGGGGATGCAAACATTGAGGCTGAGGCCGGTAAAACTTGGACACTTGAAGGAGAATCTGATGACGAAGATGCACCTTCAACAGTAAAAGCAGTGACAAATATGGATGTAGATGAAGACTTAAAGCCTAATGGCAAGGAAGTAGGAGATGCAATGATGGAAGATTCCGAGGATGAAAAAGTAGCACCTGTCCCACAGAATGAGGTTGATGGGAGTGCTGGGGATGATGAAATTGATCCTTTAGATGCTTTCATGAATTCCATGGTCTTACCAGAAGTTGAGAAGCTCAGCAGCACAGTTATTCCTCCATCTGATGGTGATAAAATTGTGGTCACAAAAAAGGATAAAATTGATAATTTGAGCAATGGTGAACAGACAAAGAAAAGTTCAAACAAGTCACTTGGGAGGATTATTCCTGGGGAAGATTCTGATTCAGATTATGAGGATGTCGAGATTGGTGAAGATCCCTTGTTAGAGGAAGATGATGAGGAGTTTATGAAACGGGTGAAGAAGACTAAAGCTGAGAAACTGTCCCTTGTTGATCACTCAAAGATTGATTATAAACCATTTCGGAAAAATTTCTATATTGAAGCGAAGGAGATTTCAAGAATGACTCCTGATGAGATTGCTGCTTATCGGAAGGAATTGGAGTTAAAGTTGCATGGAAAGGATGTGCCGAAACCAGTTAAAACTTGGCACCAAACTGGACTCACAAGTAAAATATTGGAGACCATAAAGAAGCTTAACTATGAAAAGCCAATGCCAATTCAAGCACAAGCGCTGCCCATAATTATGAGTGGTCGAGACTGCATTGGCATTGCAAAAACTGGTTCTGGAAAAACCCTTGCTTTTGTTCTACCAATGTTGAGGCATATCAAGGACCAGCCACCTGTAGCTGCTGGAGATGGACCTATTGGGCTTATTATGGCACCTACAAGGGAGCTTGTCCAGCAGATCCACAGTGACATTAAGAAGTTTGCCAAGGCATTGGGAGTCAGATGTGTTCCAGTGTATGGAGGTTCTGGTGTTGCGCAACAGATAAGTGAGCTAAAGAGGGGGACAGAGATAGTTGTCTGCACTCCAGGTAGGATGATTGATATACTTTGCACTAGTGGGGGGAAAATTAGTAATTTGCGTAGGGTCACCTATTTAGTCTTGGATGAAGCTGATAGGATGTTCGACATGGGTTTTGAACCTCAGATAACTCGTATTGTCCAAAATATTCGGCCTGATCGTCAAACTGTCCTGTTTTCTGCTACCTTCCCTCGTCAAGTTGAGATTTTGGCACGGCGAGTGCTGAACAAACCTGTTGAAATACAAGTTGGTGGGAGAAGTGTTGTCAACAAGGACATCACCCAGCTGGTTGAAATGAGGCCAGAAAGCGAAAGGTTCTTAAGGCTGTTAGAACTTCTTGGTGAGTGGTATGAGAAGGGAAAAATACTGATTTTTGTTCACACACAGGAAAAGTGTGATGCTTTGTTCAGGGATTTGCTTAGACATGGTTATCCCTGCCTGTCACTTCATGGAGCCAAGGATCAGACAGATCGAGAATCTACCATTTCTGATTTCAAAAGCAACGTGTGCAATTTGTTGATTGCAACAAGTATTGCGGCCAGGGGCTTGGATGTGAAGGAGCTTGAACTGGTGATCAACTTTGATGTTCCAAATCACTATGAAGATTATGTACACCGTGTTGGTAGGACAGGTCGAGCTGGGCGGAAAGGATGTGCCATCACATTTATCTCTGAGGAGGATGCGAGATATGCACCAGATCTTGTAAAAGCACTGGAACTCTCTGAGCAAGTTGTTCCTGATGACCTGAAAGCTCTTGCCGATAGCTTTATGGCTAAAGTAAATCAGGGGCTTGAGCAGGCCCATGGCACTGGCTATGGGGGAAGTGGTTTTAAATTCAATGAGGAGGAGGATGAAGTGAGGAGAGCAGCCAAGAAAGCACAGGCGAGGGAATATGGCTTTGAGGAAGATAAATCAGATTCAGAAGATGAGGACGAAGCAGTTCGGAAGGCTGGTGGAGATTTCTCCCAGCAGGCTGCGCTTGCTCAAATAGCTGCCATTGCGGCTGCCACCAAGGGCAGTGCAGCTGCAATTCAGGCTCCTCTGGCGGTGGCCCCATTGGTTCCAAATGCAGGGTTACCAGTTTCTCTTCCAGGCATGCTAACAGTGTCTGGTAGTGCAGCGGTTGTGGTTCCAAATCCAAATGAGGGGGCAGCTAGAGCAGCCGCACTTGCTGCTGCCATGAACTTGCAGCACAACCTAGCCAAGATTCAAGCTGATGCACTGCCGGAACACTATGAAGCAGAGCTGGAGATCAATGATTTTCCCCAGAATGCTCGGTGGAAGGTTACACACAAGGAAACTTTGGGTCCAATTTCAGAGTGGACTGGAGCTGCCATCACAACAAGGGGACAGTATTTCCCACCAGGGCGGACTGCAGGACCAGGAGAGCGCAAGCTCTACCTGTTCATTGAGGGTCCTACTGATCAATCTGTGAAGAGAGCTAGAGCAGAGCTGAAACGGGTCCTGGAAGACATCACAAGCCAAGCGCTACAACTTCCGGGTGGAGCTCAACCGGGCAGATACTCTGTTCTATAGGTGAGCTGGAAAGAGAAGACTGTTTCCTCCTCAAGATTTTGTTGGTGAGTAACGATGGGAATTGGGAGGTACTTGCCTCGTGATGGTATGAAGAAGCTGGAGTTTGTCTCTCGGTCTACAGACTGTCTTTTTGTATTTCAAGTGGAAACAAGTTTGGGTCTTTGACTATTACTATCACTTATTCATACATTATAATTATTATTACCTTAACCTTGTGCTTTTCCAGTGGACACTCGTCTTCCAGAACAAGATGATGTATGTTATTGTGTTTTCTGGGCTTTTAAGAGCCAAATGCTGTGGGAGAATGGACATGATTACATAGGCGTTATTATTATTATTATTTTTTATTTCTTAATTAATAGACCTAATGCTTTTGCTCAATGAGTGGGACTGGACTGGAGATTTTTAATTTGCTTCTCTAATTAATAATGTCTCTTCTTACTGCTCTCAGGCCAGATAATCTTTGATTCAGTTTTTTATTTTACATCTACTGGTTGGCTTTCTCAAAATTTGCATATGGGCTCACAATTTCATAGATGATGAGGGTTAAAAAAACTTCTTTTTTTTTTTTTTTTAAATGAACCCAAATCTTTTATTTTATGCTTATTACACGATAGGATGAATCAGTTGCTTGATGAAGAAATTGAAGAGGACAAGTTGTTCTGGAATCAGGATGCCTTAAAGAGCTACTCCAAATGTATTGAACACAAGATGCCTTAGACAACAATTTTGAAGTAATAATAATTGATTCCTTCCTACTCTGTATTGCAGACATTGCCAGATTTGAAATGTTGATAATTTTCAAGTGTTAGCCGAAGTAGGTGGTTGATGGTTGGATCTGAAGCTGGGCCTGGCAGATCTTTGGCAGAAGAGGACTTTGCTTGCAAACCTTTGATGATTGTTGGCTAGTAGTCTTCTTCCTCCAGGTGCCATTTTGGATTTGTACGTTAGAAACTACAATTTTCATTCATAATTATCATATATATTCTTTTTGCTGCAATTTGTTTCTCAATTTTAATAAGGTTGAATTAATTTGAATTAAGATTTGATTTGGAAGTGGGTTTGCTTGGGCTGAATAATAATTGATTTTTTAAACCAAAATTAGTATTTGCAATCGGAACATGAAACAAAACACAACGGTAATGTTCTAGTTAGCTACACCAATAATCATCTCCATTCTAATATGTAAAAAGTAGAAACGTCCCCACTTGTCTATGGTAATTTTGTAATACAACAACATTCTTGTTTTTGAAGAAAAAGAATAACAAATTACTACTAATAGTATTTTATTTTATTTAGCTAAGGCGAGAACTAGTTTTGAGCAGAGCTTCTTCTCGAATGCGAAGACATGGGCAGAAACAGCCAACTAATTCAACAACACGACCGAAAAATCTCTCTCTTTTCCTTGTCTCCTCCAAAACAGCAACAGGCACGCCATATACTGGAGGATTTGAAACCGTGTATTGCAGCTGATAGGAGTGGGTGGTGCTGCTAACATTACTGGAAAATGCTGAATAGATGGGAGTGGTTTCTGATACAATTTGTTCATCAGGTTGGTTTGAATAAGATGGCCCGAGGAATGGTTGCACCTCCAATGGAAAGATGGCCTCCTGGGTCGTGTGCTCCTTATCTGCCTCAAGCCATGAGGGCAATGGTGGAGCTGAGGGCTGAGGCTGAGGCAGTAGTGTTGATGAGGAGCAGCAATGATAATGGGAGCAGTAGGGTGGAAGAATAGGAATAGGATGATAGTCATAGTTGAAGGATGGCTCAAGGGACTTCCTTTTCCTCTTCTTTCTTGACCAGAAGTTGAGCTTCTTCTTCAGAACTTTTATCATTTTCATTTCACCCTCTCAGAGTATAATGAGGGAGACGAGCTTGGCATTTGCAATCATACATACATATATATAAAAAGAGCATCCTTCAAAAACAAAAAAGCAACTTGAACGCGGATGAATAATTTACCTAAAATCACCTTTTTTTATGCCTTCAAAATTTTCAGGTCTTATGACCGTTGAGGGAGCAATACTTTAGTCGATCCACTTTTTTCATTTCAAGCATAAAACGTCGGCTGTGTCTGTCCACATTCTACACGCAACAAACTTTCAATTTAGAAAGGAATTACAGCTGATAAATGAATCTTAATTTATTTTTTTATTGATTGTAATAAAAATTAAAATATCTTAATAATTAAAATATTATAAATGTATCAATATGTAAAAAGATTCACTAAGGCATTTGAATTTAAATGTTTTAAATAATGTGAGATTTTAAATTTAAATTTTTGATCTTTTTTATCACCTCAATTTATTTATATAAACCCTTAGTAATTAGTGTTTTTTAACTATAGAAGACATTCTTTTATGCAATTTATACCAAGAAAAATATTAATAGTATTTTAGTAATTTTAATATTCAAATGCTCATTTTTAATGTAGTCTCTACTGAAAAGTTTTTTCTGTCAAATTTAAGTTTTTAT